GTCAGGTCAGCTCCATCCTGTCCAGCTGTTCTGTCCATACTAATGGTCCTTCCTTTAAAAAAAATCCACAGATTCCACTCAACAAAATGATTAGGCAATTTCACAATCCACATGGAACACAGTCACTTTCCGCTTCTCTTTGTTAAAATGTAAAAAAAAAAAAAATGTCAGACCCAATATTCTTAGAACAACAGAGGCTTACTTTCCATGTCCACCACAAGCTCCAGTTATCTGGGCTTTCTCCACAGCCCATCCACCTTTCTATTCTACTCAGCGGTGGGATCACAGATACCAGAGCAGCCAAGGCAGCACTGCTTTGCTACCTCTATTCTAACTGCCACTAATTAGTTTGCTTTGATTGCAGATTGAAAATACCTGAGATCAGTGCTGGGGAGGAGTCCCCAGCACTGATCTGCACACTGAACCTGGGCTGTGTCTGAAATCACTCACTGATCACTATATAGTGCACATTAATACTGTAAACTAAAGTGTAAGATAAGCATTTAAAATGTATTGTTGTAGTTGTTGTACGTCATAATCCTGCGACAACAACATCATTTCCATCACCAAAGTAGTACCCTAATGCGTTTTTTTCTTTGACCAATGACCTCAAAATATAGTCCTCTATATAGAAGTCACTATAAAGTGAGGTAGGGAATAGTAATGAAAGAATAAAAGAAAGCAAAGAAAAATGTGGCGCAGTCAGATTCAATAGTTAGGGCACTGATCATTCCCAGTGCAGGTCTTTAGCCACCCTTCATATCTGCCCAACACCAACATGAACAATAGACCAGGGAGCCTGCTGCATATAAGAAGCTCAATCATGAGTGTTGACTGAGGGACAATAAACAGCTGGGAATGGCTGCATGTGTGTTTAATGTTCAATATTAGTCTTATCAATTAAGTTATTGTCAAGAAACATACAATAGAGATGTATATTAATAGTGCTCATTTGGGATTTGAAGTACAAGGAGAACTTTTTTTAACATCTACAGATAATACACTAAGGGCATCGCTTCACTTCATGTTCATAAACACTCTAATATTTATAGACTCTGGGGTGTGAATAAAAGGCAGCCACATGTTCCAACACAATGTCTTAAAGCACAGAGGGCAGAGAGGTGTTTATAGCACATTGGTCCCTCGCTTTCTGTCCTTGAGCTGTGACCACATGACGTCCGTAAAGCCCCTACAAGTGTCTGGCACAGAGAGGCAGATCTCAAAGGCACAATGACACATGATATCAAAGGTACTGACACCGAAACTGAAACCACAGCCTCGCTATGGATTCCTCAGAACATCAGATTCACACTTTGTTCTTAACTCATCCTCAGTAACTAAGGAAAGTATTGTATTAGAAATCACTATATTCTTTACAATCTTTATGTTTGCATCTGCACTTCCAAGGACAGGACAAGATAATATGACCTGAAGTGCTTGCCAACACCAAAATAATGAGTCAATAATGCGTGAACCAACTAACGGGTATAAATCACAGGTGTTCTTCACTTTGCTCATTTTCTCATCTCATGTACATGATGGGTTCATCTGCAGGAGCTGGATTAAACCTCAGACATCTCGGTGCTCTTTATTCAACAGAAATTTCCACCACAAACTCTCCTGCACGGCTCGAGTTTGGGACTCTAACCTCCCAGTCAAGCGGGGTGTTGCTTTTTTCTTTCCCAGCGAGGGAATAAAACAGTTGAGTGTTAACATCACACTCCCAACTGCTGTTGTCCAAGGCCACTCCATCCCTCTGTGTACACGTCACAGCTAATTCATGTCTGTAACTCCACACTGCATCTTGTTGGCCCGGCATACTTTCCTTCTCTTCACCCTGAGGACAAAGATAAAGCTGTGAAATTCTTTCAGGATTCCTCCGGCCGAGCATAAGTGAGAGGCGGCTCTCACCACTGTGTCATGTGTTGCCCTCTGCCTTATATCACTATACCGTTGAGACTGTGTGTGTGTGTGTGTGTGTGTGTGTGTGTGTGTG